GAGGAGATCAACCCTGACTGCTCTTTAGAAGGCCAGATCCTGAAGTTGAAACTCAAGTCCTTTGGCCACCTAATGACAAGGAAGGACTCCCTGGAGAAGAGCCTGATGCTGGGAAAGATGGAGGGCAAGAGAAGAAGGGGAGGACAGAGAAGGAGGGGGCTGGAGGGAGTCACTGAAGCAGGAGGCGGGAGCTTCAATGGACTCCAGAAGATGATAGAGGACAGGAAGGCCTGGAGGAACGTGGTCCGTGGGGTCGCGATGGGTCGGACATGACTTCGCAACTAACAACAACATCTTCAAGTGGTCACGATCAAGAAATTTTGGACTATGGATGGGTGCTCCATCATTGGGGTTTTTAAAGAAGGGATGAGACAGACAGCATTGGTCTAGAATGATATAAGATCTCCTGCTTGAGCAGGGGATTGGACTAGATGACCTCCAAGGTCCCTTCCAGCTCCATTATTGTGTATTCTGATTATCTTTTAAGATCCTATCCAGGTCACATCTTGAAAGCTTTTTTATGGGCTTTATGATGCTGCATTTACCCCTTGCCCATAAGTCGTGATATATTTTTGTAGAGTTTTTGGTTTTTTTTGCTATGTGTTGCATGTTGGTATTGTCCAGCGCCAAGAATCACCCTGTCTGAGTCGAGCAGCCTTATAAATCTTGAATCCATCCATCCATCAATTCAATAAAAAATAAAAATAGATAAGCAGAATAAGCGACTGCAATTTTTCTAAGTTGGGAAAGGAGGAGGAAAGCCTGGCCAAATTAACCTGGGAAGACTCAGACGGTCTTTTTCCTTTAAAGGAAGGAGTTAAGATTCTAGTCCCTATGGAATTCCACTGGGGGACTCACACAGCCATTCCTGATGATGCTTCCGAGGAAAAAGCATTCAGCTTCCCACCTACATACGCCATGTAGATTAGTGTTTCTCAACAAAACAACTCTAAGATGGGTGGACTTCAACTCCCAGAATCCTTTGCAATAACCATGCTGGCTGGGGAATTCTGGGAATTGAATTCTACACCTCTTAAGAGTTGCTGAAAAACACCAGCCTAGACCAGGGGTAGGCAACCTTGGCTCTTTTATGACTGGTGGACTTCAACTCCCAGAATTCCTGAGCCAGCATGGGGGAACTATGGCCCCCCTCATGACTCGTGGACTTCAACTCCCAGAATTCCTGAGCCAGCCATGCTGAGGGGAAAGGAAGAGGTTTCCAAGCTGAGCCATGCTGGCTCAGGAATTCTGGGAGTTGAAGTCCACGAGTCATAAAAGAGCCAAGGTTGCCTACCCCTGGCCTAGACCATTCTTTATGCATGGACTTCAACTCCCAGAATCCTTTGTAATGACCATGCTGGCTGGGGAATTCTGGGAGTTGAATTCTACACATCTTAAGAATTGCTGAGATTGAGAAACACTCAAGGAACTGCATCCCCACGGAGGATCCCAGGGTGGGTGGAGAGGGTCTTACCTGCACTTAGTAAGACGTTGCGGGCCGTGGGGTGCCAGGTTAGGATGCCCACCCGCTTGGAATGCCCTTCCAGGGTCACCACCGGCTCCGTCAAGTTACGCATGGGCAGGAAATCCGGAATCTGCCAGACCTGGAGGGAGAGGAAACGGTCTTTGGGTCAAGCGAGAACTTGGCTAAAAGTCGCAAAAAATTCACCAAGGAGAGAAGCAACCTGGAACTAAGGAGAAATTTCCTGATAGAACAATTAACCAGTGGAACAACCTGCCTCCAGAAGCGGTGAATGCTCCAACACTGGAAGTATTTAAGAAGAGACTGGATGGCCATTTGTCTGAAATGGTATAGGGTTTCCTGCCTGAGCAGGGGGTTGGACTAGATGACCTCCAAGGTCCCGTCCAACGGTTTTTATTATTATTGTTGTTGTTGTTGTTGTTGTTATATAATAATATATTAAAAATATAAAATAAAATAAAATAATAAAAAATAAAATAAAATAAATAAAATATATAATAAAATAAAATAAAATATAAAATGAAATCAAATAAATAAAATAAAATAAAATAAAATAAAATAAAATAAAATAAAATAAA